TGCCCTTGACAGGAATGTTACCTGTCCCACCGTGGGCCTCCAGCACCACCGTCTCCTCATTCTCCAGCCGCAGGATGTTGGGGGTGATTATGGAGAACCTGTGGGAGGAGTGCAAGAGGTCATCCGAGGGACCCAACATTCCAGCTGCACAGGGGTCTCCACAGTCCCTGGTCTTGCAGGTCCCATCAAACCCTGAACCTCAAAATCAGAGCCAGCAAGTCCCCCAATTATCTAGGTTTACAAACCCATAGTTGGGGAACCCACATACATACTCCTGAAACCCTGATTAGACCCCCAGCTTCATAAACATCCACACACCCCTCTACACAATGCCTGGATTTCACAAACACCCAACCCACAGACTCTCAAAGTCACAGGCAGCCCCATCTATTAGCATTCCAGCCACTAACTCCTCCTCCACAGGCATAATGCACCCTGAATTCTACAAGGACCTGAACCCACAAATGCCCACTTCACCACAGAAGTTGCCTTGCTTGGGGCAGGGTCAGGACTACTCACATGGGGTTCCCCAGGACCAGGGGGAGACTGCTCAGCAGCAGCAGCAGGCTGGGATCTGAGGCAGGCCCCATGGTACAAGGGACAGTGGAATGACAGAGGGACAGAGGGACTGAGGGTTGGAGGGAGAGGACAGGGAGGACTGAGCAGAGGCTGCTGGAGGCCTCCTTTTATCTGGCTCCCGCCTTTCCCGGACTCAGCCCAGCCCTCTACTCCCCATGGCCTCTCCCCTCCCTGGGGCTGCCCCAGATTTCTCAATAACGTTTCCTAAGTTTTTTCATTCCCTTGGCCAGCAAATCCTGGGTAAATAACCTAAGGGCATGTCCTCCTCCAACAGGCGCACAAGTGCCTTCTGCCCTGGCCTTCCTCGGGGGCAAGGCCAGTGAGTGAACAGGGACCTTTCCCTGTTATACCCACATGGTAGTGGAGTTACACTGAGGGCCAGAGACTCTCCCCTACCACCTCAGATATCTGTACCTGGCCCAGTCCAGATTTGTCCATGCACTTATTAACCAAACCCTTCCTAGCAATCCATCTCCACACTGGTAGTTAAAGTCCTACTTCCAGTCTTCCATGCTGGGGTAGGGTCGGGGACAGATTATAGCACAGACACTCCTAGTCCTCTGGAGTGTGATCTCAAATGGAGAAGAAGAACTCTGCTTCTTGGAGGGTCAGAGAAGGATTCTTGAGGGAGGGGACATTTCAGCATGGCTTTGAAGTATGCATAGGAGTTCACTGTCCAGGTGAGCATGTTTTATAGGGCAATGGGAGCCTGGAGCTCCCTTCACCTACTCTTGCCAGGATGCCTGAATAGCTATGATGATTTAAAAAGCAATTTTTGTGGACCATTGCTAGCTTTTGTATTTTTCTTATATTAACATCCTCTTAGGATATTATTATTAAAAAGTATATTTATTTTTTGTGTTAATAGGTAATATATTCATATGATTTAACACCTAAAAGGTAGAAATATATATAGGGAAAATGTAATTTTCCTTCTGGGCCTGTTACCAGCCATCCAGGTCCCATTCATCACCATGTAATAAAGGATCATGATTTCTCTCCACATATATCGTGTGCATTTACAAATGTCCACATGTTGCCGGAATTAATATTGGCATGCTCTACATACAGTCCTTCTAGTCCCCCTGAGTCATACCTTGTTTCTTTATAAACAGCTAGAGACTGTGGATTAGTAGTGCACAGAAAACTTCTCCTTAAAAGGACTGCCTCATTATATTGTGTGAAAGTCACCGGCCTCCAACTGATGGGCAGACTTTCTCAGATTGCAAACCTTACTCTTGCCACTTTGATTAAAAATAGTGGTGGGGTAAGTGGATGCTGCACTGACAGGCTCTCAAGATCAAATTGGAATTACAACTAAAATATGGAAAAACTTACTGAATAATCAACAGAGACTCACTGGAGAGAACCCTGGTAACCGAGGATGGAAAGTGGAGACCACATAGGGAGTGGTAGGAGGCAGGAGGTGCAAAAGGGCTGGCCAGGCTCCCACAGACAGCAACTGAAGTTCCGCAGAGATATCTCAGCTGAGGGTGGGGGATTGTTGGTGGCGGGGGGGCGGCTGGACTACATCCCCAAGCTGGGCCACCCAACTGAGAGCACCACAACTGAGAAGGGTACCTACAGAACATCTGGCTGTGAAAAGCAGTGGGGTTTCTGTCTGACAGGGAGAGAAGGCTAGAAATTTAGGCACCTTCTTAAAGGGCCAATGCCCCAAACTCCCTGTACAGATACTCACCTTGTGCTCTGAAAGAGGAAGGGAATAGTGAACTGAAGCTGTAAGAGCAGAAGCCAGGGTTGGGAGTTCTGGGTTTAGAGGTCAGAATGCAGATACCCCAGTTTTCTTTGCTGAGTAATTACCTTGTGCTACGGAGGTCATCTTTCTCAGGCAGACAACTGCTATCTCAGTGGTTTGGCATGGGGAAAACTATTGGAAAACACTTAGCCCCACAATGTGGTGTTTCTGAGGCTCATTAAAAGAATGATAATAGAGAGAAAACCAAGATGGCAGCATAGGTAAACACCGGAAATTGCTGCCTCGCACAACCACTTCATAAAAACAACTAAAGACAAAACGGACATCATCCAGAACCATAGGAAGGCTGGCTGAGTGGAAAATCTACAACTAGAAGGAAAGAGAAAAGCACACTGAGACTCAGAGGAGGTGTGGTGTGGAAGTAAAGTGCAGAGGTATGAGGGCGCATGCGGAAAGGGCTGGCAACTGAGGATGCGGCAGTCTTTTG